CAGTACAATTGATTTTTACGAATGTGACCGCTTTTCGTACTTCGTAGGGCCCTTTGCTTTCAGGCAGCCTCATTCAGATTTCGAAGGTACTCTTTATCACTTTATACTGACTAGAGTATTGTCAGGTTTTGGCATGAATTAATTTTGAATTTTGCCTTGGTGGCGGCGAAGCCTACTCTTATCGAGTTTAGAACCACCAAGAGAGCTTAAAGTGCGCAGCTTGCACATGGTACCTCCGAGATTTTTTTTCCTTTCGAGAGTGCCAAAAGTTCGATCACTGCTACCCTAAGATCAGGGATGTGAGGCTGAAAGACAGTAGTAAGAAGGAGCAAGGAGAAGCAGTACTTGTAGAAATAGTCAGGAGCAAAGGAAGGAGGAACCCACTGGCCGGGGGTGGGCGTGTTAGAGCGAGAAAGTGGAGATGAAAGCAGACGACAGAACATATCTAGAGAAAAGGAAAGGAGGTGGAAAGAGAACATTTTAGAGAAAAAAATTAATGTTTCCGTGGTTGTCAGGTTTCGAACCTGGAACCTATTGAATGTAAAGCGAACGCACGCGCGCGCGCGCACGTGTGTGTGTGTGTGTGTGTGTGTGTGTGTGTGTGTGTGTGTGTGTGTGGGTGTGGGTGTGTGTTTGATCATGTGAGTAAGAGTATGATCGTGTAGGAGTACGATAAACCAATCATGGAGAAACAATACCAAATCGGAAAACAAAGATGAAACGGAGAATTGCAATCGCTGCATCTAAACTGAAAATGATAACATCCACCTGAAGAGGACAATGCAAAGAGAGAGAAAAAAAGTTCAAACTTTAAGAACATTCTAGAGACGGTTTTCAAACTTGCTACTGAGCTGACAGCATTTTAAAAGAAATTTTTCTTTAAAATTCTCCCTGCGACATCTCCTTATTGCTTTACGCTGTGATCAACTTCTCTCTTTTGTTCCTCCTTAGGAACAGATTGGCGGGAGATTTGACTGAGCTCTATTAAGCTTACTGAAATCGAGACGAAATGTTACATGTTTGGTCTAATTGTATTCGATACTGTAGGCGATTACTCCAAGTTCAACTGTAACAAAGAAATATAGTAAAATACTAGTCGCTGTTCCCCGTTCGCTGTTTCCCGGTAAAATGACGTCATGAGTCGCTGTTCCCCGGCGCAGCCGTTTAACCTACCTGCGGACCTCCCGGGGTCATAAATCCCACCTGACAGTCAGGCTGCGTAAATGTCCGTGCTTATCTATCTCTATGGGTGTGTGATGTATTGAATGAAAGCTGAGACAGTCCAATAACCCGCATCCATTAGTTTGTTTCTAGTTCTAAGTGTGTACACACACTACCTCTAGTGTACTTCAGGGGAGACGTACACTCCCTGAAAAAAATATCTGAACGAATTACTTCCATTCACTTTCATGTAATTGTGCAAGAAGTTCATAGGTAGATAGGATGTATTAAGGGGGAATTTGTTGATTGTTTCTGAAAAATGGGTCTGTGGCAGCCGTCTTGGATTTGTGAAAAATTGACATGGCTTTATAAGATGTGGATGCAGAATACTAATGCTGGACTGTTTATGAAATTTTTGTTGCAGATCCCAAGCATGTCAAAACGTCAGATAACACGAGGTGAAGTGAGTATCAGTGAGGAGTTTCTGTCCCAACTGGTCTCTGCCCACGAGAGTCTTAGTAGTGATGACTCTTTCCATCCCATCGGAGAGCCTGGCTCTGGAAAAAAGGGAGGCAAGCAGCAGCAGAAGAAACGAAGTGGCCGCTCACGGCAGAAAATTTCCAGTGAAGAAGGGGAGAAAAGCGCTGCTGCTGTTGCTAATTCCACGGCTTCGGTAGCTCCTGTTGTGGGTACCCAGAGGAATCTGTCTGTGAACTCCGATTTCAGTGATGACTTGACAGTTGTCATAGAAGAGGTCAACCGGAGGATTGAGGAAGATGAGAAGGTATAAGGTTCTGTACTTATCAAATTGTTATGGTTATTAAGTTTTTAGAGCTGGATCTGTAATATTTAATTTTGAGAGTCATTTGTTGGTGGGTAAAGTGAAAATTAGATCTACAGTAAAAAAAATAGGATTGGCACATTTATGTTATATATATATATATATATATATATATATATATATATATATATATATATATATATGTCTGTCTCTCCTTTTAAAAATTCGTTTTATCTATCTTATGTAGTATACCAATTCTCTCATCATATTTAGGGTTCTTTTCATCATGTTTGAATTCCCTGGTTTATCTTCCTATAGACTATCCTAATGATTACTCAAAACCAAATCTTTTTTTAAAGTGCAGCTTAGAATGAATTATAAATCAAGTCCATAGATTTATTTTTTTGTTCCAAACGTTTGCTTTTGTAATCTGATCATGAGGAAAGATTTTATGCTGTAAAAACGCCAAAAAAAAGTATGCTGCTTTTACAGCTCTGAAAAAGTGGCAATTGAAAGCAGCTTTGTAAATACAGTCAAACCTCATTATACCGCCTACCTAGCGATGAGTATAAAGTTGATGGCAGAGCGGCGTTGGCAGTATAACGGGATACTACCGATTGCCATATTGACAAGTGGAAGGCTGGTAGAGGCTAGAGACAAACTGGCCAGTCTGGCCTCATCTAGATTCGCATGTGTAGGGAACAAAACCGATATCAACTAATTACATGTACAGCTCTTCTAAACTTTAAGTAAATTCAAATTAAAAGAAGGTAGGCTGTATGCGTCAAGGACCCTGTAGACGTACATGTTTTTTAAAAACCCGATATTCATCAGTCCTTGGACCAGCTAAGACCTATCATATCATGTAGATTTGAGCGTGAATCCTTACAATATAAAAACCTCTCAGGTGCCTGCCAGCCTTAAGGTCATTGGGCTGAAACCTGGCGATGTCAGATATTTTGCTCTCAGGCGGGGTTGGCACAGCTCCTTTGAAGTTTCTCCAGGCGACTTTTAAACTTCATTTCTCTTTTAGATTTAATATTGGCCAGGGCCTTAAACTAGTAGCATTTTATCAGCGCAAATCAAAAGAAAATTGACAAGTGCCGAGAAATAAGCCATGATTGCAGACACGGGAAAGGATGTACCTCTGGTGGGTAGAGTTGGGTCAGACACGCTAAATCAGCGTTCTTTGGTACTTATTGTAAACGAGCGCACGGGTAACGAGCCGTCCGCTTGTGAAGATTTACTCGCTACTCTCGGACATGGAGACAACAGTTTGTACTATTTGATAGGTTCAGAGAAGGGGTACCCATTGCATCTCGGATCAATTCAATTAATGGCAGCTTCAGTGCACACTATGAATAGACCCCTTACCTGCAGTGACAGATTTGACAAGAATAGAAAAACTTTATCTGGCGGTCAGTGTATTGAACACAAAACTTACCGTTCACAACACAGCCATTCTTTCCATTATAAAGGTTTCATCTGCCAAACATCGCACTTGATTTTCTTGAGCGATTTATTAATCCTACTGACATGAGCATGCTAAATAGTACAAACTAACATGTATGGCGTACATTTGTGCACGGTATGCTGATTTGGCATCACTTAACCAAGTTTTCTCAGTTTCAGCAGAAAAAAGATGTTTTTCTACATTCTGATATCGGACTTGCTGATTAAGTAGATAAAACACCCTGTGCTTTACGTTGAAAGGGGGACACACCTCCAGTACCTAAGTCACGCACCAATAAAGTCATTGATACACACGTTTTGCTTTACCCTAAAGCAAGTACAAGATAACATCTTTCATTCTAGTCACTGGGATGGAAAAAAATTACAAAAAACACTCTTTATAGGCTTTTATTTTGTTTTTCCATACACTGAATAGAAACTGTAATTTGTCGATAAAGTTGTGTGAATAACAGTCATGTATCTTTCCAGCAGCTCGTTTTGAGTACCTCCTCCTAATAAAAAAATGTCACTTGCCAACACTATTTGTCAAGAACTTTTGGAAAGCTCAAGGGAATTACAAAGGGGAAACTGATGAGGGGTTTATTGTTTTTTTACAATTTTTACCCCCCCAAAAAGGGTTACAAGAAGTGGATAATGAAAAGAAAAAAAAAAAAAAAAAGGAATGTGTTTCAATCATGTCTTAAATGCTTCCTTTAGTGTTGAAAGGTCCTTTCTGTGCCCACATTCTGAATTGGGCTATATATGTGACTGATACTGCTAAATCCTTACAACCTCTCACCCATCTTGTGAATGGTTGGAAGGCACTATTGGTAGATCCTACTTCTTTACTTTCCCTCTTTTGTTCCTGTCTGTCTGTCTTACTCTTACTTTTTTCCAGCATGATATGACTTATTGTGACGATGTTCTTCTTTTTACTCAAACAAACCATCCATCTTCTGACTCATTCCTTGCCACCTCCAAGGCTCCTACCTGTCTTCTGATACTCAATCCTTTCCACTTACTACATGTCATCTGATAGGCCTACTCATTCCTCACCACCTCCCACCTATCCTATGATATTCATTCCTCACCTTCTTTCACTTATTGTTTTATACTCATTCCTTGCCACCTCCCACCGTCTCAAGCAGGCCACTCACGCATGAGCCAGTGGACATAAGCTAGTCAACACACCTCAGTCCAGGATTATTTTTAGCATACATGCAGCAGTCACTCTTAGGGACATCGCCATTTTGTCTGTTTAATTTACACCTATAGTTTTGTTGTATTTCCCCCCGAAGAATTGTTATTGAACATCAAACCAGCATGGTGTTTATCATAGTTTATTTTATCAAATTCATGGGAAATTTTATGCTGGTAACAAATCTGAAGTCGTACATTTTTTTACAAAATGTGGATCTTTTTTTACCCGACCGCTCCGCCCTACCTTGGGCCGATGAAAAAATATTTTGTGCAGTATACATTCTGAACCAGCACCTGGCCTCATGAAATTGAAATCTCTGCCACACACGTAGCAATTTTATAGTTTTGGAGGCCTGAGACCCAGACTCTGGGCCACATCCCTGTATGTGTGGCGGCTTTAATGATACTCTTTTCTCACTACCTCCCTCTTATCATCTAATAATTCTTTCCTTACCAGCTCCCACATATCATCTGGTACTCAATTCTGTCAACCTCCCACCTATCATACTCATTCCTCGCCACCTCCCATCTGTCATGTGATACTCATTCCTCGCCACCTCCCTTCCACTTTTCTGATACTCACTCCCCCTCCATCATCTGCTTTTCTTCTGACAGAAGTTTCACGCCTCATCTGCCAAGCTACGGGAAAAGTTGAAGTGGCGCCTAATGCCTCTCTCTGGTACGTCAGCTCTGCTAGGGGGCAGTAGTGAAACGTTATCAAGACCTCAGGTTCCCACCCAGCCTGATGAAGTACCCAAATGGAATGCCAACTACAAAACTCTCTCGTGGCCTGTCCAGTCTCCACCATTGCAGGAAAATGCCACGTAAGTTAATATTTGACTCTTGTTTATAAAGGAAATAGGATCAGCTTGGATTTTTTTTCTTGGTTTTAAGAGACACAGAAAGAGGTATTAGTCAATTTAATGACTTTCTGTCAGTAGCTATTTCACACTATGCACTTTTACAAGCTTTCTAAAACACTTTATATTTAAAATGGATGAAAATAAAATAACAAGAATAAAAAAAATTTTTGCAGCATTTTGAACGACCCATCACAACCCCTTTCCACACAAATTTTAAGATCACACAGCAGCCGATACATACCACTAAGAACCAGTAAAGAAAGATACGAAAGAAGTTTTTTACCCTCTGGGATAGGCTGCTGTTGAAATGAACATTAATGTGTATTGTTGATTTTAAAAAAATCTAAGTACGTATTTTATCTTTACTTGTCTTGCCTTGTCTTGTCTTGTCTGGTCTTGTCTTGTCTTGTCTGCCCCTTCCCCCCCCTCCCCAGGGAAATGCCAATGACCAAAGTGTCTTTATGCCTTTCCCAAAGGGGGTATGTTAACATGTTCTTATGCGCGCAGTAGAATTGTAAATGAGCTGACTTATCAATCTGACATCGTAGTTTTCCGTGGGCACTGCAGCCATGGGAAAATAAATCAACTGTGCTGCGCGGCCGCAGAGATTTTTTGCAGAATTTTGAAAAATTGTGCAGCTTTATTATGCTTTCACACGTAGAATTGCGGAAAAATTTTTTTTACTGATGCGAGCTGGCGACGTTAAAGTGCTCTCCCTCTCACCAGAAGCCGGAAATTAGGGCGCTCTTTTTTTAATAAACAAAATTGATCTAGATCTAGATTCTTGTTTGTTCTAAATTTTATAACGGGTGCCCACTATGGCTGGATCGGACCGATCGCCTGAAACGGAAAAGAAACACGTCTGTTTTTGAGGCGACTGAGTCGGGTGATCGGCCCAATCGGCCGATCCCATCCGTAGCGAGCTACCGGTATTAGTAAGATTTACGGAGCTCGCATAGGTCATATGAACGCCAAGGGGCGGATGTCAACAGAGAGGTATAGACGGGGAATCAGGCTTACTCTGCTCACCTCTCTCGCCTCAACACTGCAAAGTCTGCTTCGACTATCAAGGCACCCCGGAAATAGCAGTTCACAAGAGAGTGACAAACATACAAAAGAAATAGAGAAAAAATGACGATAGTAAGGATGAGGAAAGAAAAAGCAGCAGTTCCCCTTATTCCCTATGTTATTCCGGCACAGTATGAGCATGACATTGATAAATCAGCCCATTTACAATTCTACTGTGCATAAGAAAAAAATGTTAATATTCCCCCTTTGGGAATTGCATAAAAACACTTCAGTCAGTAGCACTTCTATCAAGATTCTATTGCGCATGCACTAGTAGTGGCTATTGTATAGGAGTACAGGCGAGACGAGATTTGTCTCAGCAAAAATGGATACATTTTTGAAAGAAAAGAATGCGTCGAAAACAAATGTCGCTTAACGTCAGCTTCAGTTTACCAAAAGTGCACGTGTCTGGCGGAAAACTGTTCTGTTAGTACGTATGTTATGTGGTAATTCACAACACCCGTAAATGGACGGTGAGTGGGCATTTCTGTATTTTTTCCATCTTCACCTAGGGCTTTTCCTTCTGGGGTGTTTTTAATTCTAATTGCGAGCTCTACCTCTGACTTTAGAATGTTGGGACCATTGTTGTTGCTTGGTTGTGGTAGGGGTGGTCTTTTATCTTCAAATAATTCTCCTTCATATTCTGCCCATCTTCCTAGGACTTTTTTTTCTCAAACAACATAATTGTCTTATTTGTCTTCAACGTCCCCTGACAATAAATGACTAAAGCTCAAAATGCCTGCTCACCTGATTTTGAAATTACCGGTATAGTGTCTTATTTCTTTGGGTCACACTTTTGCTAGTATTTTATGTCATGAGCTTGTGTTTCTAAAGAATAATACAGATTGTATGCTGCTAATTGCTGGGTTTTTTAATATTTTATTTACTGCATCTGTAGTGCTACTCCTCAGCTATGATTAATTGGTACTTATATATTTAAAGCAATATGGAAAAAGAAGTTTAAACATGGCCGCAGTCTATGCAGAAATTTTGCAGAATTTGGTCATTTTGGGGGTAAAATGAAATTTCCATGCAGAAAACTACGGTGTCAGATCAATGTCATGCTCATACTGTGCCGAAACAACACGGGGAACTGCGATCAGATTAAAATGTTAAAAAATTTGTGGTAAAATAACGATCTAAATCGACAATTTACTTAAAGTTAAAACAACGGTATCTACAATGTACTGTAAAGGCCAATGACCTTTTTAAAATCAAGAATTCTGCTAGGATTAACGACAGAGAACAGATCTTGCAATTCTTTGCTTTTAAAATACTTCCCTCGGGCCTCTCCGAAGTCTGGACATTCTGTTCAGATAGATCTATGTCTAATGGTAAAATTTGTGTCACAATTTGGGCATGATATTGTGGAGTTTGTTGTTAATATGTTTCTCCCAATGGGTTTCCCACAGACTTGAAGTGTAGTTTTTTTACCTTATTTTTAAAGTCAGTCTGTGGGAGAGTGTTTGTCGTTGGTCCCAGCAGAAAGGACAAGGATTCCCTCGCCAGGAGATCCACTTGCTCGTTTCCTCAGGTACCCACATGGCTAGGTAGCCATGCAAACATAATCATACTTTTCCCAGTTTCAGTCAAAGTGTGTATTTCTTATTGTAATGTAACTATTTTTGGGTGTAAGAGTTTGTAGTTTGTAAGCAGGTGATGCAAGACAGCGAGTCAGAAAGGATAAGGAAAGATTTGTTAGGGAAATTTTCTACAAAGTCCAGTGCCATGTCAATGGTAGTGGCCTACGCAGAGAAAAGGGAGGCTTCGAGACGGAGTCTCCTCTGGTGTGTACTGTTAGACGATAGGGCTGTGGTGCCCACAGTGGAGTTGTATTTAGAGCCCTCTTTGAAGATTAGCTCCGCACCAGGGTATTTTTCTATAAGTGTTTTGTTTTCTGATTTAAATGTTTTGAGTTTGTGCTTACTTTGTTGTGGGTAAGACTGTAAGTCTACTTTTGCCTTGGTGAGGTGCCATGAAGGGAGGTTTGGCAAAAGAAATTGCTAGATGTCTTGTTTGGAAAAGTGTATGTTTTTGAGGTTGTCAAGGACTCTGAGGTCGAAAGGTTTGAGTTTGAGTTTTTCATTGTTTTTGAATTTGTTTATGGTGACCGGGTTTGTTCTGAAAATGCAGTCGTGTGTTGGGTTCTCTGGTGTTGAGCTCTGTTTAATTACATATTGTAGTGAAAATTGTGTGCGTCTGGGTGCAAGTGATGGTATGTTTGCCTTGGCCTGGAGGCTTTCCACTGGAGAAGTGCGGAAAGCCTCCAGGGTGAGGCGGAGTCCTTGGTTTTGTATTGGGTCTAGTGTTTTTAGGACGTGGGGTTTTGCCGATCCATAGACTTGACAGCCGTATTCAAGCCTGGATCGGACACGGTAAATGTATAGGTGGAGAAGGTGTTTTGAGTCCCTGCCCCTCTCTGGATGTGATAAAAAAAAATTAAGCGTTCACTGCTTTCTGGCACCTCAGAGGGAGGTCTTTTATGTGTGGAATGATTGTAAGTTTCTTGTATGTCAAATGTAATTCCGAGGAAATGAGCCTGGTCCAAAACTGGTATCCTTTCCCCGTATTGCGTCAAATCCGGCTGCAGTACACCTATTCATGATCGGCTGAAGTGCACTGCAACCGTCTTTGAGAGGGAAAACTTAAAAAACCGTTTTCATTTACCAGTTTTTCAAGTTTGTGTAACTGCATTTGCAGCTGCCTTTCCATAGATCTTAGTTGAAGATTTATGGAACGGCAGCATATCAGGAAGTCATCAATGTATTACGAGCTGTCTATGCTATTTTGAAGGGTCTGAGTGATGGAATCTATTTAAATTTCAAAGAGGAGAGGAGAAAGGATGTTTCGATGCGGAACACTTTCCTCCTGTTGGTGGGGTCTGAAAGAGAGGATTCGACATGGACCAGGAAGGAACGGTTCTTTAAGAAATTTCAAATGAAGGCAGTGAGAAGACTGCGTAGGCAGAGAGCATGCAGGTCTCTAAGAATGCTGTACTTCAATGTTGTGTCGAAGGCTTTTTCTACGTAAAAAAGATGGAGATCTTGTGGCCCCCTTTGGCAAACGTCTCGCGTATAAAGGTCTCCAGGCGGACCAGGTAATCCAGAGTGGATCGAGTTTTCCTGAATCTGCACTGGAGACCGTCAGCGAGCCCGTCGTCTCCAGTAACCACACGAGTCGCCTGTGAATCATTTTTCTATTAAGTTTGCATAGACAGCTCATTAATGCGATTGGTCTATAGTTGGATGGGTGTGTGTAGTCTTTGTTTGGTTTGGTGTTGGAATAACAGTGTCTAGTCGCCATGACTCCGGAAAGAAGTGCAACCGCCACATGTCGTTGTATATGTTTAGTAGACGTATTGCCCAGGTCCGAGATGCATGATGCTAGTTTGTTCAGTGTGAAGGCTGGGTTGTAGGTTTCAGTATTGTTTGAGCGGAAGTTTGGGTGTTGTTGTTCTCTGTTAGTTTTTGATGTTTTGGAAGGTGGTGTTGTACAGTGTAACAGGGATTGCTCGAATTCATCGGGAACGGCCTCATGACAGTATTACTCTTCGGCAGGGAGAGACCACCCTAAAAACGAATACAATCATACTGACGCTTGATTCGTGTCGCCCTCCAGCCACAGTTTGGACATCTTACTTGGTCCGTGACATGCGACCCTATGTGCTGAACCCTCTGTGCTGCTTCAAGTGCCAGAAGTTTGGCCATAGCCAGTCGCGATGCCAACACGCAGCCATGTGTCCTTGTGGCAAGACAGGGCATCCTGAAAAGAAATGCAAGACTAGTCCTTGCTGCCCCAATTACCACGACCAGCACACAACCTTCAGCAAGGATTGCCCGACTTGGATCCAAGAACGCGCAATTCAAGAGTACAAAGTGCGAAATGGCTGTTCA